CATTCGGACGATTAATCAGTGTACAATAAAACAATGAAGCAACAATTTCACAAGCCCCATTGACGTCTAACTGAAGTGAACCATATTGAATTTGCTGAACCTCTCTCAAAAGGCCTATAACGTCAGCTGAAACTGTTTTTGACTATACCTCAACGTAGTATAAAAATAACGCATAGTTCCTCCAAGACCACATTTGAGCGCGTATTGTGTCGTCCCCTTACTCCTAGTTGCCTAGGGAAGGGGGACAGAATAGCAGGCTACGGTTCCGTGGTAAATGAACACCTGCAGTACCAGATGCATTATGCACTCTTTTGTTCTCTGGAATTACCTCGCGGTAGAGTTTTACGAAAGAGTTTCCCGGAAGTTTGTAATCTTTATATGCCACAGCATAGACATCAAAATATGCTCGAACGTCTTACAATATCAGCCAATGCATAACTCTTCCAAGATCATATTTGTTTGCAAAAAGTCAGCTGGAATTATGTTAGGTTGCTGCAGCTGTTCGTGTAACTTCTTTAGGTTACCTGGGTTTACGGGATGATCATTTAAGAGGGTTGGGTCAAGCTGTACTTTAGTACTTGTATCAGAGGTGAACCCGTTTTTTGTCTTCTACGACATCAAGAGAAAATGGACTGGCCACGTGGCTCGCCTGAGGGACAACCGGCAACAAATCGAACGCAGTTCCGCTGGACCCGATCGTTCCCTTAGGCCCGAAACATCGGCCTTCCGGAAAGCAGTTACAGAAGACTGACTCTTTATTAAACTGCTTCATCACTGAATCGATATGATTTTCGAGGATGTGAAAGAAAATCACGTTTTCCGAATTCAACCGCCCGTACCTCACGAGTGCGCGCCTCTTCCTCAGTGCATTATTCATAATCACAGGATGATTACGACTGGCGATTGTTGGCACAGCAAACGAGCGCTTAACGTTGGCTGGTACAGCCTTGTTTGTCAAACTGCTTCAGCCTTCACTAGGGTCACAGAATAAGTCTATTTTCTGCTCTTGTTATTACACATGGTGCATCTCGTTTTTTTTTG